TAGTAACGTATCTGTGCTTAAATTGAATGTCTCCTTTGCAGTGGCAAGGCCATTGATCTCTCTGCTCAGATTTTTATACTAATAGTAATTTTTAAATTTGGCTCACAAGAAGTTGCCCCTGCATTGGCAAAGCCTCTTTATTGGTCCAGCAATGATTTTGGCAAAAGTTATGCTCAAACACCTTAAACGAATTAGGCTTCCACTCTTTATACATAGATTTATGCGTCCATCAGGGAGTGCATTCAAAGTTGCAGCTAGTTATCCAGACTTCCTGGGCTTTTACATTTTGCTACGCTCTTTCAGGTCTCCCCCACTCAGTGTGCAGTTTTCTAGTGAGGGTACAATCTATGAAGTCCTTATCTTAGCCATTCCATGACTCTAGTTTCCAGGATCTCCATGCTAAAGGTCCTTCTGGCCTACCACTGTCTTTGTTTTGTGCTGCTCTAACAGAATACCACAGACTGATACTTTAGAAAGGATAGACGTTTATTTATTCACAGTTCTGGAGGTTGAGAATGTCCCAGATCAAGCCATTGACATCTGGTGAGATCCCACTTGCTAAATCCTCTGGAGGGGAGAAATGTCACATCCTCACATGGTGGAAGGCAGAAGGGCAAGAAACAAAGGTGAATCAACTCGCCCTTTTATAACGGCATTAATGCCACTCATGAGAGCTCTGCGCTATCACCTCCCAAAGGTTTCACCTTCTAATACACACACAATGGCAACCAAATTTCAACATGCATTTCGGAGGGGAGAAGCATTCGAATCATAGCAGCCACTCACTCAAATGGGAATACAAACTCAAACTAACCAAGCTTCAGGTTTTTGGCACCTACCAAGTTTGCCCCTGTTACGGGAAAAGGTGAAAGGTTTCTAGCCCTAGACCTAATTTACGTCTGCCCATTGTGGAAAAAAAGTTGGTGGTTTTTGCAACCAGCTCCATGTGGCTGAAACTGCCTTTCTTAATGACCAAGTTGGAGAAGGGAATGGATGGAGCTGAGGCAAAAAGACTGAAGTCTCCTGCTGTTTTTACTAAAGCTCTAGTGATTTTTCAGTAAGAAATGCTTTGCAATTTAATGACTACCTTTAGTCAATTTCCAAGGTCCTAAAATTGTTGTTGTTTTTTTAAACGCATTTCCCCAGTTTTGTACTTGTCTGTTTTTACTGACCTTCTTATGCCCCCATAACCAGAAATCCCTCATTCCTACACCCCACATTTTGATATTTATATCGTATCTTTATTTAAAAACATATATTCATTACTATTCCCTTTGTTATAACAATTACATGTTCTTAGTGCTAAAGGTAAATAGATAATCAACATTTACCACTAACCTTTATGTAAATGCATCTCCAATCTGAAATGTATTCTGTTGGAGAATCCTCAGGAAATGCTCATAGCAGCAATATTCTCTGAGTTCTTGCATAACTCTAACATTTTTCTGTAGTCTATTTTAAAAAGTTTAATTTTGCTGAATATAAAATCTTTGGCTCACATTTTCTTTCCTGAGTATATTAACTATGCTACTCTATTGTTTTCTGGCATAGGACTGCTATCAAAAAGCTAATAATCAGATTTTCTTTCCCCATGTTTGACTTTGCTCAATACTTTTATACAAACATACTTAAAGTTGTCCATTCTGGGCCTCTTTTCCAATTTTGCAGTATAATCATTTAATGTGCATTTGCTAGTCATTTTAAATTTTATTATATTTTTCTTGAATTATAGTTTTTAATATTTGTTCTGTTCCATTGCTTTCATCTTTTTACTTTAACGTCTTCTATTGTACATATATTTTTATCTTCTTTGCATATCATTTCCTTTGAATTTCTTTTATTAGTTTTTTCTTTTTTTATAATTGCATATTGCTTTATTTATTTCAAAATTTCCCTCATTCTATTTTGAAAATGAAGCTTAATGAATTAGCTTTTGTGTTTCTATGTTTCTGGTTTTGTTCTAATTTTGTCTTAATTTCTGGAGTGACTTTTTAAATTATTATTTCTAACCCTTTCTTGAATTTTGTTACCTATGCTTTGTAAGCTTTTTTCTTCCACTGGACTCACTGGGAACTTTCCAAAATTGTGCACAATTTACATCATTTTATTTCTTCTGGCTCATTTTGAATAATTTGGCTATAGTTTTTATTTATTTTGTTATCATGTCTTGATAATATGCTCTCGTTGTTGTAGGAACGTTATTTTGTTCTCTGCTCTCTTTTTGCTTCTGGTATCTTTATAGGTTATTCTATCTCATTCCCTTTCTGTTACTCATGTTTAAGTTAAATGCATTCTTATCACAGAAGAGTGAGCCAGGCTAGCTTTTCTAGAGTGTTCAGTATCCCTAAAGTCACCTATTCTGTTATTTTAAAGATAACTATTTTACCATTGTACTTTCTGAGTGTATTTCCTTTGCTTCTATCCCTCACGTTTACCTAAATTACCTCTTAGATTTCTCTTATTGGACCTGTCCTGTTTTATTGGATTCTATGTCCAGCAGTTTTTTCTCTCCGTGGCAGGTGTCCTGAGAAGTCCTTTCTGCTCCAGCACTGACAAGCTTTTTCTTATTTTTCTTGAAGACACTGGTGATTTGGTGTCTGCAAACTCTCTTCTCCATTTCAGCTACTATTCTTGGATTAATCTACCTGTCTTTCCAGTGATTACCTGTTACTAGACAGAGGGAGGTGGTGTGGGTTCTCTAGTTCTAAGATCCATCACAAGCCCAGTTGACCTTCCTCTGTTTCTTTCTGCACAGTTGCTGATAACACAGTGGTTCAGTGGATTTTTTGCCACCAATTAAAAGGGATGCGTTATTATTTAGTGTTCTTGTAGATATGGTCTATGTATTTTTAGTTTTGTTACCCTATTTATCTTCTTTGTTTTTATAGAGAGTTTCTGGTATATTCAAAAAGTAATGCGACTTATACTGCCAGCTTCCCAGATTCGGGACAAAGTTTACAAAAATATAATACTTATGTATTTGATTGATGTTTATTAAAATATAACTAACATTTGGATTGCATGGGCTTCAGAGATATTCAGTATATTTTAAAGAAATATATATATAAGTAAAACAATTACAATAATTTAAGAATAAAATTAAATAGTAGTCATGATCGTATGCAAATATGGCAAAAAAAAATGATAGTAGAGATGGTATACAAACAACTCCATTTGGAAGTGCTGTGATAGCCAAGTGATTTTTTTCCACTTATGGGACAGGGTTCTTTTTTTCAATTATGGCACTGGAGTACTATTCGGAAAGAGCAGTGGAGAGCAAAGAAAGCACTGATCCCACCTCCAGAACTTGAGGAATTAGAGTGCAAGAAATGCTGTGGGGATCTGGTTTTAATTAGGAAAAGGAGAAGGAAAGAGTTACCAGTAAAGAAGCTAGATGATATTGATAAGAGATTAAAATATAACAAAGATCTAAAGGCTAGATATAAAATTTATAAACTGAGAAACATGCCATTAAAAATGTATACTGTTATATAGCATATATTTATATATAATATTTTTAGCCCTAAATTGATGCTTTAATCTTCAGTTTCCTTTTCCTTAATCAGATAGACTATAAAACTTCATAACCTACCCTTTTCTTTTTATTTTGATGGACTAATATATATTATATATAACATATATATGTTTTATATGTATATATACACACACATAATGTTAGTAGCAATAAAAATGTTCATACTCAATGATCCATTAATTATACTTCTGAGAATTTATCTTAAGTAGCCGAATGGTCAGAAGAAAGCTGTTAGCATAAGGATGATCCTTGCTATATAGCATGTAATGGTTTAAAATAAAGTAAAAAATCCAAACTGAAAGAGCATAATGATTCAATAATTGGAAATGACTAAATGAATGATGATTAGTATATATGATAAAATGACATGAAGCCCCCATAAATTTAAATCACCAATAGTTCAAGAATCACACAAAACATTTTAAAGTAACAATATACATAACATTCATTGGTAAATAGGATTGCAGACTGTGAGAAAATGTGCATGTATGCAAACAAGATTTGAATAGATATAGAAAAAAGAATATAAGATTTTTAGGATATTTGGATGATAGAGTTGCCTTTATTTATAAATTTCTTTTGATGTTATAGTTCAGTCACAAATTTATATGTATGTATATAAAACTTTCCCAATAGGAGAGATTACAAAATGGACATTTATCTTCTATTACCTTAAAAATGAAAATAATTAACACTGCTTCCTCAAAGTTTCTTTATGTATTTTTGTGTAATTCCTTTGTGGGAGGAATGTTTATAAGCTCTAAGAAGACTATTAGATATGAAGACTGTAAAAAGATCAGCTTTTCAGGGCAGCGAAACTATTATGTATGATACTATAATGGTGGATACATGTCATTATACATTTGTCCAAACCCATAGAATGTATAAAATTAAGAGTAAACCCTAATGTAAACTATGAACGTTGGGTGATAATGATGTGCCAGTGTGGGTTCATTAATTTTAAGAAATGTACGGCTGTGGAACAGGGTGTCCACCGTTGGGGAGGTTGTGGGTGGGTAGAGGAAGCAGATATACTGGGAACTTTGTACTTTCTGCTCAATTTTGCTGTGAACCTAATTTTAGTAGTTACTCTAAAAAATAAAGTCCAACAAAATAAAAAGACAATTAAGGCTAGGTTATGAAGTTTTATATTCTATCTGATCAAGGAAATGGAACTTGAAGATTAAAGCACCAATTTGGGGCTAAAGCAGAGGAACACGCCAAATGATGAGTTTGATTCTGTTAGGGTCGTTTCCTTGTAATTTTTCAGTGTTTAGCAACAATTCTGTGCTCCTCAGTGACTCTGTTTAGCCATTTATACAATGAGGGTACAACTCTCTGCTTCATAGGTGTACCCTGAGGATAGATGAATCCCTATACTAAAACTGTTTTTGTCTCTTTGATAAAAAACACTTTACAAACCAATCAGAGATTCATATATTTTCTACCTTATGTTTTGTTACAGTTACACCAGATGAGTGGAAAAGCAACCATACAATAGAAATAGAGATAAATCAGACTCTGGAAATACCATGCTTTCAAAATAGCTCCTCAGAAATTTCATCTGAGTTCACCTATGCATGGTTGGTGGTAAGTGTTGCCCTTTTCAGTGAATAACTGCAATCGTCTTTAAACATTAATGAAGTAAAATGAATAAGCAGTAATAATAGGGAAGGAAACATACAAATGACAGGCAGGCATTATGCCAGTGGTGGGAGGAGGGGTAGGGAAGGAAGGAGAGGACACTCATATTCCTTCTCACAGGCAAGCCTCTGAGTCTATGAATGCAGTGAATTAATTTATAAATTTGCTTCCAAAGATTGATTTTTATTTCTATCTACATACCAAACCACGATTACAGAAAGAACAAAGTGTGATAGTGCCCTAGAAAGGAGCCATATTCTGCAGAAGCCCCTACTCACAAATACTTGTTTCACAAGCAACATATGCAGAGCTACAGACTCCCTTTTCCAAAAACCCTTATTACTGCGTCCTGGGAAATATCCAACATTGGCTTAGATTGAGAAGCACAGACTCTAATGCTTGTGAAATATAAGCAGCAAATGTATAGGAGACAAGCAGGACTTGTATAAGAAACAGTCACTGCCCAGCTCTATTAATGCCACAGGGGGCCACAGGTCTATAGTTGCCATGCCTTCTCATTAAAAAAAAAAAAAAAAAGGCCAGAAATCTGGATTTTTATGAAAATTTTTCCAATTTTAAAAATGATGTGTAGGGCAAAAATAAATACTGGTCTAGTATTTTGCTAAGGCACTGTAAGATATAACCCTAGTTATAAATTTAAAAAATTCCACTGAGTATTCACTTTGGCAGTTACGGTGGGCTGACTATTAAGTTGCTTAACGTGTCCTGTGTGATGACTAAACTCTCCCACTACTTTTCTCTCCTTGAAATACTGCAGAATTCATCTATACAGATCTTCATCTAATTGGATTTATGATTTAATTTGGCCTATCCCTTAACATAACTGCATCGTTTATCCACTTTTTCTGCCTTTGTTATTTTATCATTAGTCTACACTATTCTGCCTAATACATCAGTTTATTTTTAAAATCTAAATTTAATCTTAAAAACTAAAATTGTCTGAGCTTTTTGTCATAACAGATAAACAAAATCAACATGAGGATAATAGTAAATATGAAAGAATTGTGTCATTATAACTTTAATGTTAGTCAATCAAATGGCAGCCAGCTACTAACCAGTGTATACAGTAAACCCCTAAAACTGTTAAAAACAAATGACAACAAAGAGACAAACACAATTATAGAGGTGACCATAAACATGATTTCAAGAATCACATAATAGGGCATTCATTTAGATGATACAGAATATGATTACTGTATGTTAATTTATATGTATATATATACATATATATATATATATATATTTTTTTTTTTTTTTTTTTTTTGAGACGGAGTCTGCTCTGTCGCCCAGGCTGGAGTGCAGTGGCCGGATCTCAGCTCACTGCAAGCTCCACCTCCTGAGTTTACACCATTCTCCTGGCTCAGCCTCCCGAGTAGCTGGGACTACAGGCGCCCGCCACCTCACCCGGCTAGTTTTTTGTATTTTTTAGTAGAGACGGGGTTTCACCGTGTTAGGCAGGATGGTCTAGATCTCCTGACCTCGTGATCTGCCTGTCTCGGCCTCCCAAAGTGCAATTTTTATATTTTTGTCAAAATGAAAACAAGATTTAAAAATTCTTATTAAACTCACGGATCCTCATGAATATAACAGCTGGCACAATTTGGAAAATACTGTGATTCAGATGGTTGATTATTCACATTACAAGCTACCTAGATTTTTGTGGACAGTCTTGGAAACTAGACCCTATATATAAAAACATTTCCTTGGGTTTGTGCCAAATCCGAAATAATTGACTTGTACGAAGAACTTTAAATACAACCTACTGATAATTTTTCACTGTCTAGCTATTTTTCAGATAGTAAGTAATAAAAAGAATTATATTTTAAAATAACTCTCCCAAATGGTTGTAAAACCTACAGTGTCTGTCATCTGTCACAGAACACGTTCGCCCTTTTATAGGATTTGCTTTCCAAAAAGTAAGGCTTCCTGGACATTATGCATATCATTAGGATGAGTATAAGTCCATTGTTCTTAACAAACATGATACAACATACTTCTGAGAAAAAGGTTAAGAAGTGAGATAATTTCAAGAGAACAGAAATGTACTATACTAAACCTTTTAGTAATGAAATGCATACCTTGCTTCAATATTTTCCCCCAACAGAGCAGAAAGTTCCTATCCCAGTTATCACAGGTTCACCAACAATGGCAACTGGTTTAATAAAGTTTTACTGTACGTATTTTTACTGTAGTGTTCTTATCTTGTCTCATGGGTATGTAATCTGTTTTTCTAAGCAAATGCAAAGCCTTCAGTGTGTGTCTTTTATGTGACCCTGAGCTTCTCCTGGACAAAAAGTTGTATCGCTCATTTTAAAAATCTCTAGCATCTAGTATAGAGTCCAAAACATGGATACTCATAAATACTTAATAAATACTTGAATTAATTTGTTTCTATTTGTCCTCTTTCCCCACAGTCTTGTTCATTGTTCTCATATTAAATTGATGATCACTAAATTCATGCTGCTTGATTATTTACTGAGTGGCAGCTCATTAAGTCTCAAAGACTTGACAACTGATGAGTCACCATGTATCAAGTAGCTGCCTTTAAAGAAACTAAGAAGGTCATATAGACATTAGCTTTGGATTCTGCCAGGACCTTTAGAGTAAATGAATGCCAGAGAGTGCACGTAAGGTCACACAGTGAGAGGGTGAATCTTAAACATCCACTAGAACCTCAAGCCATGCTGCCATTTTAAAGAATACACCATGATACAGACAACTTGAAGAATCTTTCTAAAGAAACCTTTCTTCAAAGGGAACATGGTGTTGGCAAATGTGCTAATTAAAATCCTATAGTGCATGTCCTTTCAAAATGTCCTCTCATTTACATCTATGCCCCACACTGTTGATGGCTGTAGGATTCGGCCAGTCTCTTAAGCCAAATAATGTCCTTAAAAACTAGATTACATAGGGTGGTTATAGTCTCCCTTAAAGGAGAACAAACTTCCTAAATAAATGGAGAGAACAAACTGCCTGACAGTGCACAACCCACACCCTGGGCTCATGGTTAGAACATCCTACAGCAAGGAGGTAAAGGAGCGGAAAGGAAAAATCCCCACATGCATGCAAGTGCAGAAACCCATGATTAGTGTCTTTGGGCTGACCCATGCTCATTAGAATAGTAAAAAATACACCTATGAGTAGAGATTTAAGATGTTAATGAGACATGCCATGTATCTACCAGCATGTACAAAAATAGCACATGCACATCCAGAGGACCATCCAGAACGTGCTTAATAGCAACACGCCTTCCTACTCCTTCATGAATAATCATATGAAACTCATAAAGGGAGTTTCTCTAGTGTCAGTCAGCATCATCTCACCTTTGAGTAGCCCTCTGTGATCAGCGGTGAGTGTACTTTTGCTTCGCAGTAAGCTCTCTTACCTCCTTCCACTTTGAACTTGCTCTCAAATTCTTTTGTGCGGTAAAATTGCTCTCAAATTCTTTTGTGCAGTGAAGTCAAAAACAAACTGGTGCCACTGGCAACACTTATGTTAGGGAATAAGCTACAACTCTTAGTATCATAATTGCTACATGTCTGCAAAGGACACAAATATTCCAGCCAATCCGTATTTTTGGTCTTTAATCTCTTTTTAAACTAATAATAATAATCATAATGATAAGTCTATTGTTCTTACAAACATTATATAATCTCTTTAGAAAGAGATTACAACATAAAAGTGATGAAGGTGAGCTCAGGAGAGCAGAAACTTCCTATACTGAACTCTGGGAAGCTTCAAAGGCCTTCTGCCCCAAGTGACTCATGAAACCTTGGAAACAATTTACCAACTAAAATTATCTAAGTCACAGAAAAATGAAAGTGATGTCTTCCTGTATGTGTAATTTTATAAAAGCGAATTAATTCAATCATGACCCTCATAGGAAAGGTTATTGTTGGGATTCTGTCTTATAAAATAAACTCTTATGCTACATGTGCCTGATCGCATGCTAAGGCTGTGTTAAATGTGTTAATGGGACACACTCTGCATTTTGGGAAGTTACATTGCAGGACTGGGAATACACTGAGGTAGACAGGCATCAGGTGCAAATGGATGGTGTATCTAACATTCATCCAGCATGAGGGGTAACTAAGTAAACACAAAGGGTTAACCCTTTAATGAAGACTAATAATCTATGTGAATGGAGGAGTAATGTATAAGAAATCCTAGAATATGTATATTTTGATGGGATGCAGTTGGAAACTAAAAGATAAGTGATATTTTTCCCATTTTATGCACTGGGACATAAGTATATAGTCATTAGGGAAATTTGACAGTCTTGTTCTAGAAGCTTCTAAATATACGATAATACTCTGTTTTCATAGCAAACTATCGTCCTTATTTCCCACAGCATAAATTTCAGTTCAGTCCAATAAACTTATGTGAATCTGTTTTGAGCGCTAAGTCCTGCAGGGATACAAAATTATATTGGACATATTTCCTACCATGACATACACCTTTAATAAAAATGTAAAAAATGGCAGCATGGGAAAAATAGTTTAATTCCGACTAGATGGACCTGGAAAAGTTTCTTAGAAAAGGTTATATTTGAGCTGGATAATTAAATAGTTGACTGGCAAAAGACAGACTTACACTACACCAAGACCCTGGGAACTTTAAGTACAAATTGGTAGTGCAGATGGGAAAATGTGTATGAGGAAATATTTGTTTCCAAAGTCAGTGAAAATAAAGAAATTCATGATTATTCTCTTTAAAATCATGAAGAGAAGGACAAGAATATTTCCAATTCAAACAATTCAATATTAGTGACCAAAGCACATAACTACAGATGCTCATCTACCTTAAAATTTTTATGTATATCTTCAATATGCTCTTATTTAATATTTGTACTATTTATGTTAAAAGGTAAATGGTACTCTAGACAATGTTTGTTATGCTTATGGATGCCTCACTATTCAGAAAAC